GGTTTAATGGAGGGATTGATCTAATCTCAGCTGTTTGTTCTCCTCCAACAGGCTGTCCGAGGAGCATCCTTTCCATAGAGACTGTCTGAGCTGCTCTCTTTTTAAACCCAACTGCAGCTTCTATGACGCTGAGCTCAGTCCAGACCATCAACATGTTCTCCTCAACTGCAGAGGTACGAACCCAATCATTCCCAACCAGGACGTCTGTGAACGTTCACTATAGCTTCATTTCCTCTGGATGACTTAAAGAGACGGCGCTGAGTTCAGAGTGTGAGGCTCAGCTTCTGTCTGAAGGATGAATGCATGAAAGCCTCAAGGGCTTAGAAACGAGCCCAAACCAAATTATAGGTGATAAAAAAACTCCGATTCTGAATGGAAAGCGACGCGATGAGGATCAGTTTAGTAAAAAACATAGAAAATCATCTGAGCTGCAAACATACTAACAATTTATCTGGGTTAGAAAATCATAAAAACTGCTTGATTCATAATAATCATCTTATTGATAAAAACTCTTAACTGTTTTAATTCTGTAAAAGCTAAATGCGTTAAGAATCTAAGTTGAACTTTTAAGTAAAAGTTTCATAAAATCTAAAGGAGAAAAACTGTGTGATAATAAATCTAGATGCTAAAAGCAAATAGAAGAAAGGAAAGTCTGTCTGAGCAGAGGGCTGCCCGGGGCGGCCTGGAGAGCACGGCGGGGGCGGTGCCCCCCCATCATCAGAAATGATCCATACATACAGAGCAAAGCCCAAACAACAGAGGAAAGGACAGAAACATGCAGGATGAACTGCTTCTCAGCCTCAAACAGAAATAAATTGATCATTTAAAACATTTTAAACTACAGAAATATCATTTTTATGTATTTCTGAGATCTGCCTCTAAGACCTCCTGCCGCCATCTTGTCTCCAGGACCTGGAATACCTCAGACCACCCTCCACAGGCTGCAGGACATGAGCGGTACGTCCTCCTCTTTCCCTGCCTTGCATCATGCGTGGTCGGCGGCGGATCTGCTGCAACACGCTGCAATCAGCAACCGTTTCAGAACCGCAGAAAGATCCAGGATTCTACCTCCAGGATTAGCAGCTGACATCTGATTGGTTTCTGTCCTGAACTCAGCAGGATGTCTGGCTGTGGAGACGAATGTGGAGCTGAGGAGAGCTCTGACTGACAGAACCGTACCGAGGAGGGAGCGGAGAATCCTGCAAAGAACCGGATCTGGTAAGAACCGGACCGGAGCAACTGCTTGATCCAACAACGGAAGAGAAACTCCTTCATCTCCTTCTGTTTTTATAGCCTTTATTCTCGTTGGTTGATTTGTAAAGTTCTTTATAAATAAAGTTATCAGCTAAACCACAGGAAGCAACGCTTTTACTAGATCAGAGGCAGTTCCAGTTCCTGTTCCTGGGGGCCGGTATCCTGCAACTTTCAGATCCAGCCTTGGTCCATCAAACCTGAGTCAAATGGTTGAGTTGCCTCCTCAGGATGGAGTCGGTTCCTCCAGACTCCTCTCAATCATCTGATTACCTGATTCAGGTGTGTTGAACCGAAGGAACATCTAAGAGTTGCAGGATGGCGGCCCTCAGGAACTAGAACTACCCACCCCTGGTCTAGATCAAGGGCTTGACTTTGACTAGGCCAATACAGGTGCAATACAGGCCGAACACTTAGTAGGATATTTGGGAAATGATACTAATTATTGTCTCATTTTGAGTTCTAGTTTTATGTTCAAAATAAGATGGAATGACACAAAGTATTGGATAATATTTGAAATACCTGGAAATAAAGCTGGGTTTAGTGATGACTGACAGGGTGGGATTACTTTGTGGTTTAACTGCTATAGCAGAACCAGGAACTTAACGGGATGTTCTTTCTTTTTTCCCGGTTCTTGGTGATTCTTCCGGGTTGTTCTGCAGGACTCGGCGTGGAGCTGATGGTTCCCAGAGACCTGGATGAAACGGTGAAGCATCCGGTTTTACTCCTCCTGTACGTCCTTCCATTCAAACCCAAAGTCTTTAAAAGTTTAAACAAACTAAAGCTCAAACCGGTTTCAAACCGGATTCAAAGCGGTTTTCAGTGTTAATCTTAGAAACGGATTCCTTTACCCTATTAGAAATATTTCTCTATCTGTTTGATCAGATTCTCTTTGTTTAAAATGTTTCCTGTTGAACATGTTTGTCTGTAGAGACAGCGCCCCTGGTGGCCAAGATGTGAACGACCGTTTTGCTCTGGACTGGGACTCGGTGCTCGTCACTTCGGACCGAGTCGTCGTGGCCCGAGTGGACAGGAGGGGCCGGGCGGTCCATCAGAACCTGGGGACGGCTGATGTTCAGGACCAGATGGCAGCACTGGAGTAGGTTCCCATGGTCCATTCTGAAGGAGGCCCCCAGGGGCCCCCAGGGGCCAAATATGTAGAAAACCTGTGAATTGATGAGGCGGTTCTTCCTGCAGGGAAGGTTGGACAAACTTCTGGAGTTTGATGAAGATGATACAACAAGTTTGGTTGTTTTCTTCATTTTTATGCAGCAGGAGAGAAGATCT